CAAGACCTAATTGTGCAGGCGGTCATCCGCGGGCGCCAAGGAGACTAAAAGAGTCCGGTGCCAAAAAGTAGTGTCTTGGTTTGCCTTTCTTTGGTGTGTTTGCATGTATGGGCCAAAATCTAGTCGAAAGTGTTCAATGCTTATGTTAATATAATAATAAGTACTTGTTCGTAAGTGCTTCAAATGAATGTGAAAGTTGAAATAAGGTGTAAGTTAAGTGTACTGGAGATGTGCTTATTAAGCCTTTCCAGCTCTGAAGCTTCCTTCTTCCTTGAGTCTGCGCCGTCTGAAATACCAAACCCTAATGCTAGTTCAGTTCGTGTGTTTTACGTGAGCGCCTTTCACTAGTGTGCGTAGAAAAAACACACTAACTTGATCATAAAAGAAAGTAAAATTCTCACCATTATAAATTTTTCAACTTGTAGTCCACCGGGAGGCTAAATCCTCTCCTGAGTTTTCAATCTCTGTTTTTGCGCGAAAAAGAAGAAGAAAGGAAGGATGGAATTCCGGCTTGTTTGCCTAAATGACAAAGGTTACAAATATGGGGATCCAAATTCGAACTACAAGAGACTAGTTTATTCTTAGACAGCACATCGAGCACTTGTTTCCCAGGGTGACCAAGGCGCTTGTGCCAAAGTGAAGGGTCTGATGTAGAAGTAAATAAAGCAGCAGATATGGAAGACTTTTACGAGGGATGAATTGGATAGAAAGAGCCAGTCGTGTCACACTTGAGAAGAGTGGCTTTTGTCTGAATATCCTTAAAAAAACCTTGAGTAGTAAATTCCAGGAAACAATTGTTATCAACGCAAAGCTGATTAACGGACAATAAATTAATTATTCTTCAACCGGGTCACCTTGTCGGAGCCCTCCACGTAGGCTGGAAAGATTCCGTTTTCTCACCATTCCATAAAAGGGACAGAACTGGAGTGGACACAGAGTTCATTATAAGATTTAGCCAAGCTTCAGGAATTTTGAGCTCAAACATAATTCTCTTGAGAAACTCCCAGTCCATTCGATCGTAAGCCTTTTCAAGATCAACTTTGACTGCAATGAAAGCCTTCTTCCCCTGATTCTTCTTCATAGAATGGATCACTTCTTGAAGAATGATGAAATTCTCCTGAGGGTGCCCTCCAGGGACAAAACTAGCTTGAGTAGGGCCGACCCTTTATCAAAGGTTTCAATCGATTAGAAATAAGCTTCGTCACCACTTTGTACACAAGATTACATAATCCAATTGGACGGAATTGCGAAAGAGTCTCGGGCTTCTGTTCAAGGAGTGACTTTGTTGAGCTCTTTTTTTGACTGAACAGCCGCTTTCCTAATAAATACATTCCATTCAGACGATTCGGTGGCCGAGTTTGGTCTGACTCAGGAAGCTCCCTCCAGAGCAAAGCAAGCTGTAACGAATGAGAATCCGGTAGTCGATTCCGTATTCATTGATCCGGAACAAGAGGTCATGATGCGAACATATCTCTACTACTATTTACAACTGGTCGAACTCAATAAATATAGGGGGAACTGAACGGGGGCTAAAGTAGCAGTGGGCAGTGCAACAAAGCTACGGCTACTGAGTATGGCGTCGGGGAGGGGATAATGAATGCTGGGGTGAGACCCCTAGCTCCGTTCCTCTCCAACCTTTTCTATCTATCTAATAATAATGAAGGGCTTATCGGTCGACTTAGACTCAAAATATCTTTGATCAAAGGAAGCGAAGAAAGCTACAGGGCGCTCCTGCGTATGCGGAGGACATGTCAACAGCCAGATGCTCGCTAAAAAGATCCTTCTAAAAGGATATGACGGATCAAGATTCTAATAAATTCGTCAGGGGATGCATGAAGTGTCAAATTCACGCCGATCTGATTCATGTGCCGTCATCATCACTCCATCTTATGTCGTCTCTGATAGCTGAGAAAGGTTTTGGGAGAATAAGAATCTTCATTGACTGGAAAAGAGGGGCTTAAGCTCTATAAGTCAAACTAAAGACAATGAAATCAGACTTCCCAGGCATATAAAAATCAAGAAGAAAGCAAAGGACAGAAAGGGCCATCATACAACTTTCTAATAATACATGATATTACACTCCCCCTCAAACTCGAACAAATGAGAGGTCAAGAAGCGAGAGTTTGCCCACCAAGAATTCATGCCGAGCACGAGTGTGAGACTTGGTGAACAAATCTGCAATCTGAAGTCCTTGCTCATTTAAGGCGAATCCAAGGGCTCTGTCTTTTAATCCAAGCACTTCTCGCGAGTGAAGCGCCCTTTATTTCATTAGAATATATATAAGGGTAAAGCCACTTCGTTTATTATTGGTACGCTCATTAACGACAGGGTTGGTTGCAATCTGACTAGCGCCGTTATTGTCACAATGAAAAGGCGTTGCAGCGGTGAGATGAACCCCAAGATCAGATAGAAGCCTGTGTAACCAAACCACTTCACTAGTGGCTGCAGACATAGCCCAGTATTCCGCCTCTGCACTGAATTTGGACCATATTAAGTATTGCAAAATAAAGGGCCTGCTTTTTTTTTGCTCTTCCAGGAAATAATAGAATTTCAAAGGAAGACACAAAGTCCAGTGGTAGAGCGGCGATCAATAGGGCAGCCTGCTTTCCATTTTCAAAATTAGATTAGAATAGGGGCCTTGTAGTTTAGGGGCGCGCTAGCCTGCTGAAAAACTACAGGTTTTTAGCGTCCTTACGTTTTTCAGCAGAATTGGAGCATGACAAAAGAAAGATTCTTCTGTGGCCAATAACACATCATGAATAACAAGTTCGTTGTACCTTACCTAATGTTTGTTGCCATAGTTGAGCCTCAGCCTCTATGCATGAATCATCACAAGATATACTATGAATGGCTAGTTGGAGTGGGCAGACTACTTATGATCGAGTGAGGCTTACTTATATTTAGAAAGATGCAAGTTTGATAGGGAATGGGCGGATGCTTCAACGGGAATGAAAGTTGTTGGGGGAAAATCTTAGGCTCAATAAGTGCATGGAAGCGTGCATAAGTTCCAAAAGGGAAGGGGGAGGGGGCGAGCGGAGTGAGCCGTTTCAACCGAAAAATTGCCTAATCAGTTGAACCCGGGTGATCGGGAGGGAATGCCAACAAATACGATGAATAGTATGTGTGGTTAGCGAGAAGGGCTAAATGACTTTGAGTCCGCCCGCGCCAGAGATAGATAAGAGGTGGACCAGCTCGAGGGCCAACTATGTATCAAAATTGAAGCGGTCCAAGATCCATTACAAGCGGGGCCTAGCCGGGCGCCGAAAGCAGAATCTCGACATTTCATCCGCGGTATTGTACCATTCCAATTCGTAGGATCTTGACATCTAAGTTGCTGGATTGTCTCATTCGCAGGTCGTTCTATGGGAGCCATCATACCACAACTATTATGTACTCCCTCTAAATAGAACTACCGAATTTTTTTTTTGCGATAGTTTGAGCCGTGATCAAGCTTTCCGCCAACTTGAGTGTAATAATAATCATAACAAATCACCCCCGGAAGAAGAATTTATTGAAACCCCTTCTAACAAAATCAGAGGAAAGTCCAACTCCAATTCTGGCTGGCGCCCTAAGGGAAACAACAAAAGAGACGGCAATCAAAGGGGCAATAAGCAGTATAATGAAGTGAATGTTGTGGTCCCCACGCTTGTGGAATTGAAAGGCGCCCCCGGCAACAACAGCAACCGCAGCAGCAGAGGAACGACAATCAGAGGCAGAAAGAAAAGCAGGTGCCATACAACTATGAAGGCCAAGGAGAGCGCCCTCGACGAGAATTCACCCTGCTTGCATTATGGCTAAGCCAAATTCTGCCTAAATTGCTGGAGCATAGACTAGTCAGACCCTTCCCTGTCAGTCGTCGTCTGCTTTACCTGGCCCCCCCTCATGCAGCATATGAGCAGATCTTCACTAAAAGCCGGCTCTATTGGCGGATAGATAGCGCTCCTCACTTTGCCATGAGAACAAAGAAAGCCTCCTTGCAGCTTTGCCTGCCGCCCTTCGGTGGTATAGTAGGATGGATAGCAAAGCCGCCTTCGGCCCTTCGCTTAGTAAACCCCTCTTCGAGCCTCTACTGAATTTCGCTCGCCCCGGTCCTTAGTAGCGTTGACAAAGTCAACCTTTAGATGTTGTTGTGACACTTTGGTTAGGTTAGGCTCGGTTGACTTTGTCAACTCCTTGCTTGTGTCCTTGACAAAAGAGAACAGCCAGCCCCCCTGTTGTTGATAGAGAGCTTACCGCCCCGCCCTTTATAGTCGCGACTGTTGTCATGGAAAAACAGTTTGTTTTCTGTCAAAGAAGCATGCTTAACACAGCCTATAGCATAAAGGCATTCGAGCCGCGTCTAAACTAAATTAAGGGCAAGGGCCCGTACTCTCTCTTCTGTGGATAGGCTATCCCTTCCGGCTATGGTATGGGGGAAGGGAAGTGAGATCTACCCATTGATTTGATATTAGGTGAGCGGCCGTACTATGATCGTTCGGGAGACCCGGCCCATTCAAATCAATCAAAAAAAAACGAGCACCTTTAATTTAAGAATTTAAGGGGAATGGAATGTCGACCACAGGGTGAGAGAATCTTATAATACGAGGGCGAGTTACTGGCAAAGTCATTAAACTTAGTCATTTTGATCAACATGGCTGCAAGTGGACTGGGTTTATGTGTTTAAACTGACTACGACCAAGGCTACTTCAACCAAAATAAGGGCGACCCCTATTCAAACCGAAAGAAGTACCTCACCTCACTTACGAAGAAGTAGTTGGAGCTGGGCTCCGAACTATGAGAGTTTGCTTTTGTTTTATCTTTCTAAGAGCGGTCTGATCAAATAAGGGATCAGACCACTCCTGGTGTTCGAACTAGTCATTAATGGTCGGCTTAATTAGTACCCTTTCGGTATGTGTTGTGAACACTTTCATTTTTAGCCTCTCATCTTCTCTAGAGAAGCAAAACTCGAACGGATAGAAC